GAGGAAGGCAGAGCCCCACACCGGGGCGCGCGGCCTCGGGCCTTTTTTGGCATTAAACTTCCAGCCCCGGTTTCCTCACCGTAAAACACAGATGTTTAATTTTAGGCTGGCAGATGTTTCACTCCTGGCTGAGATCTGAAGCGAAGGCAAGATAGAGGTATTTATAAACCAGTAATATTTTTCCTATACTAATTCCAGATTACCTCCCTGTATAAATAGGTCACAAATCAAATCTCTACATTCCAGTACGTTGTTATAAATGTACTGTTTGTAAAACGTAAACTATCACAGTTGGGACCATATCTGTCCTGCGGTGCGTGCGTGTGTGCTCTGGTACAGGTTTACATACGCAGGCAGATGCTGGCGGTGCCGGGGCCGCGGCAGAGATGCTATTTTTGGGGTAGTCCCACTGCCAGTGGAAAATAGGCTAATGGGATAAAAAAGTTTGTAAAATGTTGCTGTTTGAAAAGAAAATTCTTGCCTTGCAGAGAGCAGGGGAGAACTGTCCACGTGTTTGCATACGTGGTGGCTGGGGTGGAGATGGTTTTGTAGCCGTTGCGGTGGACCAAGCCTCGTGACTTGTGGTTCCGTGTTGGGGCTCTGTGAACATTAACGTCTGGATGAGGGTCCATCACTCGGGTGTTTCTGTATCTCAAAATCCCATTTCTAAACCAGAAATAGTTGTTTCTTACCCATGGGAGTGTGTTGAAGTTTGTATCCAGTAAATGGTCAAGAGGAGAATCCGGACTGGTGGGAACTGGGCATTCATGAATAATCTTGAAGCCTTGGTGTATGGATTGTCGGGAACTAAGGAAAGGAGTGAATATTGGTGCTGGGTGTGTGGCCAGCACTCCCAGTGCTGCCAGACCCCGGGCGCTCACCCGAGCACCTTGTTGCCCGTCACCGATGAGGGCCAACAGGAGCTGTGTGGGCTCAGCATCTGGTCCCAGGCACGTTGGCCGGGATGTGTGGCCGTCCTGGCGTCAGCAAAACCATCGTGGGCTCAGCAAGAAGGTGGGGTGGTGGAGCTCTGAGCTGGATGATATGTTTTAGGGACAAGGAGGACATGTGCCCCTAGCATCACACCCAGCGTGGAGCTGTGGAGCACTGGTAATTCCCACGACTCCAGCTTTCTTCCAAGCATGGACCGGTGAGTTGGTTTGAGGTTGCTTCTTTAGCCAGAAAACCCGGGATATTTCCCATTCTGGACCACTTGTTGCCAGCTGCAGCATCCATAAAAGTTTGAGATGAAAGAATATATCTGAATAAGGAAAATATAGCAGTGTTGGGCTGGCAGCTCTCACTGCTTCCTCTGTAATGATTTCCTGCCCCTCTCCGCTAGCTGGTAGGCTCCTTTCTTGGTCGAGAACAAAACTGTATTAAACAATACTTCACATTGTTTGCCCTTTCATTCAAAGGGAAGGAGCCGCTGCCCTCCGAAGATACAAATTAATTAGAAGCGAATACTATCCTGTTCTTCAGAGCATAAAGGCCAAACAGACTGGCTTTCTTTGAAAACATGGGACCAGAGTGTCTCTTGTATCCTGCTTCTTTACGTAACCGATGGCTATCTGCTGAATTGAGGTGGCACTGAAAGGCCTAAAGCTTCGGTCGTTTTTGTTTGGTATCGTTGAGTTTGTGCTAATGCTTCAATGGAAACAAAGTCCAAAAAATGATTCATGCTCATGTTTAATAAGAGATTTACAGAGAGCGAGCCAGCAGGACAGATGTAACCGAAATAGAGTGGTGGGTTGAGTTACATTTGGTCTTTTCAGCCCGAATTTGAGTTTGTTTTATGAAGCATTTGATTTCACAGGAAGAAATGTAAACTTCTCGATGGCTCCACGTGTAGGAAGTGAAATGTCTTCAAAAGCAAAGAATTTCTTCAAGGCAGGATTGTCACCAGCCAGTGCGGCAGCGTCGTCTGCCTGAAAAGCTGCTTTTCTTTCAGGAGACAGGTTTGACACCAAATCCTTCAGAATTCCCCCCGGAAGGTAGCGTGAGCACAGCGCTTGTGCTGATCTTTCTCTTGCCTGTCTCATTATTGCTACCGTGGGATCTCTTTGGCCCCAAAATTGTTTTTTATTGACTGTTTGCCTATGGAAGGTGGTAGAGCAGGTAGGTTTGTCCTTGTCCGCCGTAGCTGTTTGCCACTTGGATGCTGTAGATGTTGAATTTCTTCAGTGACAGCGGTCTCGATGAAGAAGCGGGCAGGTGGAGGGCATGGCTGGTGGCCATTCGAGTCCGAGTTCTCTTCTGTTCCCATGACAACAATGCTGGGTCACAAGCTGTGAGGACCTTCTCCTGCCTCTCCTGCTCTGAACTCATATCTCCTTTGGAGTGTTGGTTGCAACTACTTGACCTGGAGACCTTTTATATCACTTAAAAAATAATTGGAGGTCTCAAAGTTTCTGAAAATCCATACCAGTCTGCCCAACTTCCCTTCAGCAGCTTAACATCTGCTGGTTTTTAGGTGGTGATGAATATCGTGGGCGCTTTTGACCTGGGTCATTAGTTCAAAGTAGAAATTAAATATTACAAATGCAGTTTTACACAGCCTGGGCGGAGCGTTGGGCTTGCGAGGGGTTGCGCTGGTTTTCCTGCTCCTGCCGGGCAGCTGAAGCGGTGGCTTCATGGAGAGCCCAGCGCTGCAGAGCGCTCGCCCCAACGAGCTGCCTGCAATTAGCAGGAGCCCCGTGCACAGGCACGGCCTTGTCCTCGCCCCTTCTGATGGCTCAGGGACACCCATTCAGCAGAAAAAGCTGTTGCCCAATTCTATTTTACCCTGAATAGCATAGAATCATAGAATCACTGAGGTTGGAAAAGACCTCTAAGATCATCAAGTCCAACTATCCACCCAACACCCCCATGCCTGCTAAACCGTGTCCCCAAGTGCCACATCCACACGTTTTTTGAACGCCTCCAGGGTTGGGGACTTCACCACTGCCCTGGGCAGCCTGGTCCAAGGCCTGACCACTCTTTCAGGAAAGAAATTTTTCCTAATATCCAATCTAAACCTCCCCTGATGCAACTTGAGGCCATTTCTTCTTGTCCTATCGCTAGTTATTTGGGAGAAGAGACCAACCCCCGCCTCACTACAACGGATAGTTGTAGAGAGCGATAAGGTCCCCCCTCAGCCTCCTCTTCTCCAGACTAAGCAGCCCCTCATCAGACTTGTACTCTAGACCCTTCACCAGCTTCATTGCCCTTCTCTGGACACGCTCCAGCCCCTCAATGTCCTGCTTGTAGTGAGGGGCCCAAAACTGCAGCATTCACCTATCTTTTGTTGCTGCTATTGAGGACCTTGGACGTCCCAGTCTGGTTTCTGGGATTTATCAGCAGGATGAGAGCTCCTCTGTGGTGCATCTGACTTTACCTTTGGGGTCAGGCTGCGTGTGACCTGCTGAGGACGCTGGCTGGGAGCTGACAGCGCTGCTTCCTCACCCCATGAGATCTGCGGTTACTTTGCAGTGGCCATGGTGCTGGAGCCTGCCTTGGTGGAGCCAGAAAGCCTGGGAAGGACACCAGAGCAGGCCTTCCCTGGGTGTCAGCTCCCCCATACCTAGTGCTTTTGATTTGTTTAAGCTGGAAAATACCAGTATTTAATTGGATATACTCTGCTTATCATGCGTTGGAGGCATCAGAAATAGTGCAGGTCTATGAGATGCGTCCTCTGTGTGAGCAGAAGACGACTCCCACCCTAGGAGAGGCTGCCTGGGTGCTTGGGAGTGCGATTAGACAGGGAAATGTTGCGGTGGGTGAAAATTCTGCGTGTCGGTGGGACTGCACATCAGTAGGTAATCGGGCCGTGGTGGCAGGAGATGTTTTCAAACATGTGAGTCGTTCTGCTGCCGTTTGGTCCTTAACCACCGAGGGAAACGCCGCTCTGCCGCGGTGCAGCTCCGCGAGCAAGGGGCATCCTCCTGGTCTGCCAGCTTTTCAGGAAAGGAGGGGGGAGCGATGGCGGGGGGGGGGAGAGCTTCCAGCCCCGTGCCTGTGATAGGGTGCCATGGCACGGCACGGCGTCGCGGGGCATGGCCTAGTTAGAACACAGCTCCCATTGTACGGGAGCCGTCACCCTGCGGTTACTGCAGCAACAAGTCTGCGAAAGTTGCTGTTTTATCTGGAGAGTGGAAAAGCGTGCCCCAGAACACCAAAATAATTGCAGGAAAAGGCACCTCTTGAGCAGGAGACATTTTGAGTTCGGAAACACCAGTTGCTGGGATTTTTCTCTCCTCTCGGTATTCACAGCTATTGCAGTGCAGGGCTGTGTCTGATTTTATGCGTGGCACTTGCCACACGATCAAACCTTTTTGGGGAAAAAAGACGGAGCATTGTAGAGCTGGGCTGCCGTTCAGAGCTGGAACTGCTCCCACCACCTCCCAGTGCAGCTGGAGTTGATGTGCACCCGTCAGCCCTCTTTTGCTGTCAAAAATTGTAATTTTCAGCAAACCTATGGTCTTGCACCGTAAAAGTGCTTCGGAAAGCAAAGCCTCTGTGTGCCCACAAGTCCCCAGACTTGCGTGGTGCTGGTGGTACAGCTCGGTAGCTTCAGCTTTTCGACGTTAATGGTTGCTAATAGGCAGTGGTGGGCCCTGGGGACGGCACGTCAGGGCACGAAGTGAAGCCACAGCTGTGTCCCAGCAAAACCCAGTAATCTGATTTGGATGCCACAGCTTAACATTTTGTGGCTTGTTGGTTGGGGGTCTGTTGTGTTCTTGAGAGGAAACATTGGGCTGCAAAAGGCAGACGGGGTGCTTCAAGGGATGCGTTGGAGCTTGCGGGAGGTGGCTGGTGGGTGCCGCCCTTGGG